ACCCTATGCACAACAGAATAAAATACTTCCTGGTCCCGCGCCAACTTCACAATCTTTACTAAGCCTGACCCCATTGCTGCTGCCACTGTGCTAACCCATCTCACTGGGGGTCTTCCTCTTTTTTTCCAACCCTCCACTTCCTTCCTGATTATGTATCCAAAATATGAGAGATGAAGTCTGGCCATCCTGGCTTCCAAGGAGCATTCCAGCTGAACTTCTTCCAACACAGATTGGTTTGTTCTTCTGGCAGTCCAGGATACTTTTGAATATTCTCCTCCAACACTATAAGTCAAATGCATCAATTCTTCCACAGTTTTCTTAATTCATTGTCCAACTTATTGACAATATCATGGCTTGGATCAGGTGCACCTCAGGCCTCAAACTGACATCTTTGATCTTTAACACTTTAAATTGGTCTCCATAACTAAGTCTAATTTGCATCAGGCTCACGTTTGACAAACACTACACTTCTTACATGAAATTCAAATGACAATGACACAAATGGTTAACTATACAACAAAACAAGGGAGGAAACTCCAACTGCCAATCCTGTATGTTTACATATCAGGTACTCAATAATCAGTCTTCACAGATACCACAGTGAATTTTCTCAGGATGGCAGCCATAAACTGACACTTTACAGAGATACCAATAAACATGGCTTTCCCACAGGCAGGGGCATAGGCAAAAAAAGTAGTATGGGGTTAAGAACATACCAGTTGGACAGAATGCCAGGGTAACACATGGTCAAAGAAAGGAAAGGAGGAACTTTAACAGAAGAGACAGGAAAGGGAAAGAGATTAATTCAGATGTTTAAGGAAGGCAGGTTCATAAAGTCCCCAAAAATAAAGAAGAGAAAGAAATACCAAAATGCCTGCTCAATGAAGGTCTTATTTCTAGGGGTTTCACAGTCTCCCCCAGCCCCTTGCCAGTCTCCCCTTCACTGAGTCTTCCTGTTCCTTGGAAAACTCAGTTTTGATAGTATAAGAGCACCTGACCACAGGATTCCTGGGTGGTCCAGACCAGGTGACTCAAATCTTTCAACCTGTCCCCTGTATAGTTTTTTTATGAGACTAAGCTTCCCCAAGGACATTCAAATGTTTATTACACCAAGTTCTCAGTTCAAACCAGGCAAAGCTAAACCAGTTTCCACACAAACAAGACAATTTTCAAAGGACTTTGCTTGGGTGAAACTGAAAGTAGAACGGGGCCATGAGAAACCCAAGAGAGGTAGGAGCCTTAAGGGGCTGAGAGGTACACAATGAAAGACATCAATCACCACAGATGCTCTGTCATGCCCATGGTGATCAGAAGGGCCTCCTTAGGGTCCTCAGAGTCTGAGTAAGGGGAAAAAAACTTGTTCTGGTAGAGTCTCCAGCTGTTATCAGAACACTAGAGGACTTGGATCATGCAATAGGGTCCTTGTATTCTGCTGACCAAGAATGACTAGGTTAGACAGGAAGAATTTCACAAGAGTAAAGATTTATTGAGAGGAAGGATCTGGTTGGAGGAGATGAGGAGGGCTCTAGGCAACACTAACCTTTGTCTCCCTGATTCACAGTGATCTCAGGTTTTATATATTTCTGTGTGCTAGTTGGATTGAACTCCAAAGTCGGCAGTTCAAGCTCATAGCCGCTCCTTGGAAACCCCATTTAGGGTCACTATGGGTCAGAAACGACTCAGTGGCACTCAATAACAACAACAACAAGGACCTTATACATAATTATCAAATTTCTGGTGACAGGCAGGGATTTCTGGAGAGTAGCCCTTTTGGCAGAGATATGATAATAGGGTGTGTGCACAGGTTGGCTTTAAGATAGAGTTGGTAGCAAAGGTTGTTGGGAGGAGTTGGCCAAATTTATTCTGGGATGTTGTTAAAAAATGCAACATCTTTGGGGCTCTGGTATGAGCTCCCCTTCCACCCCCCAGGGGTTGGTGTTTTTCTCTACTCCCAGGAAAGATCATCCATCTGTTGTCCTTCAAAGTTGTATTCATGGAGACAAAAGCTGTTAGCCTAAAAGATAACTTAAATGAAAATAACTTATCTCTTATAGGGAATGGGGGAGACCAGCTGGCCTGAGAAAGTCTTGGAAGCTATTTTCCATTCATTAGTTTTATCTGAGTTCTGCCATCTAGGCTCTTTTGTCCAAGTCCCAGAGTCCTGCTATTCCCTACACATCTCAATTGTTGTTGCTGTTCCGACTCATAGTTATCCTGTATAGGGTTTCTGAGGAGTGGCTGGTGAGCTTGAGCTGCCAACCTTGTGGCTCAAACCGAAATTGCAGTCCAGCACATTAAGCCACAGGGCCACAGCCGGACTCCATACCCAGCTCATCAGGACTTCTCATTTGTAATATGTTATCTCTAACTATTGACAGTACTGTGGTGCTGTAGGATAAGCACTGGACTTCTGAACACAAGATGGATGGTTCAGCTGCTCCTTCAAAATGCTATGCAAGGAGCCGACTCATTGACACTTAACTGCAACAACAATGATGAAATGTAAGGCTTTTTCATCAACTATAATTGAGACAGGGAGAAGAGGAGGTCCCGAAATCAGGATTAAACATGTGCCACTTACTGACTAAAGCCTTGTGACTGAACTCTTGCAGAATACTGAAACGCAGTGTGCCCTTCCCTGCTTGAGCAAATGGGCCAATGTGTAGGGATGCTAAGTCTGCATAGTTGAGCAGCCACATGCTGGCATGAGCAGAAGAGAAAGTTTCATGGACCAGATAAACTCCCTTAAACTTGTTTTTTAGAAGTAACTAGCTCAGACCAACCTTTGGAACATGTGTAAAACTTCTAGCCCTGACCATCATATGCCCTTGCATTAGGGGCAGTTGAGCTTCTGGAATCCAATTGGGGATTCGAACCTTGGTGTAGAGACAGAGTGTATGCATTCCACCCCATAATAATTACTGCAAATGCTTCCCAGACACCTTCATGGCAGACTCCAGTTTGGATGAGATGGACTCCATTTTGAAACCTTACCTCATTACACTAGTCCTGACACTTTACTGCCCATGCCATCCCTACTCAAGAATCCTAAAAACCCTAGCTAAACAAAAGCTCAGGGAGGTGAAGCTGAACATTGCCTGGAGTTCTCCTCTCCTTGTTTCCTCTGGCCAGATCTTTCACAAAACTTTGCTCATGTGACACTCTGTCTAACCTGGTCATTCTTGGTCAGCAAAAGACAAGGACCCTCTGTTATAGGCTCACCCCCCCCCCCATGTCCCAAAAGCATAATGAGCAAGCTGAGGTCTTTTAGGGAATAGGAGTACTTACCCTCAAGAGTCAGTACCGACTCGATGGCACCTAACAACAACAACAAACCTCAAGAGAGAAAGTAATAATACAGGTGTTGTAAAAGCTTATCAATGAATAATGAAGACTACAGAAGAATTCATGCATTTGAATTATGGCATTGGGGAAGAATATTAAAAGTACCCTGGACTTCCAGAAGAACACATAAATCTGTGTTCAAAGAAGTATAGCCAGAATACTCTTTAGAAGTCAGGATGGCAAGACTTTGTCTCTCATACTTCAGACGTGTTATCAAGAGGGACCAGTCCCGGGAGGACATCATGCGTGGTAAAGTGAGTGTCAGTGAAAAAGAGGAGATGGATTGGCACAGTGGCAGCAGCAATGGGTTAAAGTATAACAATGATGGTGAGAATTGTACAGTGTTTTGGTCTGTTGTGCATAGGGTTGCTTTGAGTCAGAGCCAACTCAACAGTACCTAGCAACAATGAAAAGTAAACATTTACCTGTGTATTTCATATTGCAAATACGAAGGATGGGACCTCATCTATCATGTCCCATCTCTATCCCCAGCACTAGACCAGAGCTTGTCATGTTGTAGTCTCTCACATATTTGAGAAATGCTTGGAGAAAAAAAGATGAGTGAATGAATAATGATGAAAAACAAATGAACAAACCTGCAGGTTATAAAAGGGAACTGGAGAAAGGAGAAGACATCAATGACTACTTTTTTCACAATCACTTTTCAAGACTGAAAGATGAGAGAGCCCTTGTGACATACTGTTAAGTACATGGACTCTGAATTCAGGTCCCACCACATCTTAGCTGCTGACTTAACTTCTCAGTACTTAAGCTTCCTTCCTATCAAGTAAGCAGAGTTAATGCTTAGAGGTGGTGGTGTGCCATGGAGTCAGTTCCTACTCATACCCACTCTGCCTAGAGTTTCTCAGGCTGTAAATCTTTACTGAAGCAGAAAGCCTCATCTTTCTCCCCTGTTGAAGCTGGCAGATTCGAATTGCACAATTAGCAACCCAATTCATAACCCACTTTGGCTAGCAGGGCTCCTTAATGCTTCCAGAAAGGCCTGGGGAAAAAAAAAGTAAATTCCAAGTAAGTGTTAGTGTTATTATTTTTGGCATCTTGATCAGAAGTGACGCTCCCTGGACAGAGGGTGAATTCAGGTACATACCCTCTTAGTGGCCTTCAAAAATAACAATTGCCTTTGTTCCCTTTACCTTCCACACAGCTTTAGACATCCCCTCCCTCACGACTAGAAGCAGAGTTGGACAACCACCATGCCCATTCTGGGCCTCGGTTCACTGGCCTGTCCCCTTAAGGTTGCAGAATCTGAGACCCAATGTCCCTTTCAGCTAAGACGGACTAGTTTCCTGAGTCTCCGACCCGGCCTCTCCACGTTCACTGCTGAGCGTTCCCTTCCCTCCTCCCTGGTGCCCATGTCGGCCTCTATAGGTGGGGCGTCCTGGGTCCCGCAGCCTGTGCGCCACGGCTGCCGCCCAGCGTCCCGCACTGCTGTAGGGGAGGTGCCTCTCGGGCGCCCTCCGGCCGAGATGCCAACGTCCCGCGCCCGGCGAGCCTTCGCCCGTGGCCACCCCCCGGGCCCACGGCGCCTTTATACCGAGCGGGCTGGCCAGTCACTAATGTTTAACTCGGGACCGAAAGTTTAGAACTCAGAGTGACTCCGCGCCCTTAGCAGTGGAGGAGGACTCCTTTCTCCGCGGCTCGCGGTGCCTTCTGCCTTCGCTCTGGCTCAGAAAAGTTCAGTTCCGAAGAGTCTCCGACAATGAAGGTAAGTGAAGTAGCGCGCTTCACACTTCTACTGTTCCAGGGTCGCCTTGTAGGTGCCTCTTCGCCAGACTCTCCCCTATGCTATCCAAAAAGCTCGCGGGACGGGACCAGGGACTTCCATTAGGCAGAATTCCTAGGGCCATCCTCTGACAGGTGAAGGGATGTCCCACGGTTTTCTCACTTCTCTGTGGGACCAGAGGGGTTTCTTCTCGAACTCAGATATCGAACCTTGGGATGATAGGAGAACCATCCACAAAACCGCAAGACCAAGTCCTAACTTTGCCAAAGAAGTGTGTTCAGAAACCACAAGTCCAAGGAAACTAGCCTTTGCAAACTGGCAGGCTCACTCCAAGCCCTTCAGCCCCCTATCCCTTACTTCCGACGTGCTCCCATCCTCAAATCCCACTGCAGTGAGCAGCCTCTCACCCAGACGGGGCCCAATGCTTCCCTCTAACTGGACATAATCTGACTTTCTTGCAGACACTGTGGAAGGTTCTCCTGGGACTGGTGGGTGCTGCTGTGCTCGTCACCGTCATCACGGTGCCGGTGGTCATGCTGAACAAAGGTAGTTCGTAATATTCAAACATATAAGACCATTGAAAATCGGAGTCAGATTCCTTTTACTACACTTAAGGGACCAAGGAATTTTGCTGGGCACTTTGGCCAGAGCTTTAGGTTGTAGCTACACTGTTATGACGTCTGGGTTCACTTTGCGGGGACTCCAATGTTTAGGCTGTGAGTCTTGGAGCTGCCAAGGCTTGTTTAAGTTCTTTAAGTTAGGGGCAAGTTTTCAGAATTTACTTTTACCAAATTAAAATTCCCTGTTAAGGTTGTGATCCCTGGAGAAAAAGAAACAGTATTTAAAGACCCCAAATTTACCAGTAAGTATGCCTTACTGGAGAAAAACAAGAGAGAAAGTCCCAAAATACAGTTTTGAAAAAAGATGGTACACAGGAAACCTTGATTGTTTTCCTTCAGATATGATGAGCATTCATCAGTTGGAAGCTTCATATACAGGGAAGCAACTATTTCGCTACTTTAGAAGTATTGCAGAGATAAATCATAACACTGACATGCATAATAATATTCAGAAGGGTCTGGGATCCAGGTGTTTTCATTAACATCCCTTCATATATTTTGTTTACCTGAATGTTCCAATTTAGCGCTAGCTCTTAATGGAAAACATTTAGATAATTGAATGCATACTATTTAATGCAAGCAAATAAGAATACTAGTTTGGGTCTCCTTTGGCCCTCCATTCGTTTTAAGTATTTACTTTCTTTTCAGTTTTACAAACTCTAAATGGGTCGGTACGCTGAAACATTCTCCATTGATGGTTAGCATTTCAAGTCAGCCAGGAAATGTATAGCTAGTACTTATGTAACTGAAGGGTCTTTTCCAGATTTTCAGGTAACAGTTCAAAATTAATTGCAACATTCCTTATAACCAATTGGTTGTAACTGATTCCCATTCATAAAGACTCCCACATGCATCAGAATAGAACTGTGTTTCATGGCTTGCAATGTCCAATTTTTCAAAAACAGATTGCCAGGACATTCTGGCTCACCTCTAGGTGGACTTGAACCTGCAACTTTTCTGTTACCAGGCAAGTGCTTTAACCATTTCCATCACTCAAGGACTCCATATTCCTTCTATAACTATCAAAACCCATGTATGCCCTGAAATGTCAGGGCCAGGACAAAGGTGCTTAGAGTTAAATAATGGAGTGAGTTGACTTACTCATAATTACATTTAATTACTTAAGAAAGCAGTGGTTGTTAACATTTTCAATTATTAAAGGTAGACTCAGTCAGCTTATATTTGACTCCTTCTCACAAACTGTTGAAGTAGGACTTATTTTTATGCAAAGTGACGTTTTGTGTACTTGAACAACTACACACACAAAGCCTTGTTGTGGGAAAGAATGGATCATTCCTTTGGTCTGTAAATCGTCAACAGGACTTGCACTGTGTGCCAAGCACTGTGCTAGTTGCTGGAAATATAAAGATTAAATTTTATAAATATAAAAGTCCCTGAGCCCAAGTAATTTATAATTTAATAGAAAACAGGTATGCAAATAAACCAGAATAACCTATATAGCCCATTTGTTAGGGTCTCCAAAACCTCTAGGAGACACTACAGTTTCACTGTCAAAATATGTAGAACTAATTATCCGAGCATTCCTTAAGAAAGGGATAGTGAAGGATTTGACAATGTTTGAGATGGCCAGTAAAATGGCCAGGGGATCTGTTTCACACAACTGCACCCACAAGGCTTCCTCAGATTTACTATTGTTGTTAGTGTCTTCAAGTTGACACATAATAACTTCATGTATAAAAGAACAAAATACTGCCTAGTTCTGTTGTTGTTGTTGTTGTATGTCATGGAGTTGGTTCCGACTCATAGCAACCCTGTACAGAGTTTCTGAAGCTGTAAATCTTTACGGGAGCAGAACGCCTAGTTCTGTGGAGTCCTTAAAATCAGTGCATTGTCCAGTCACTGTGTCAATTCATCTTTTGGGGGGTCCTTCTCTATTTAGTGGTTATGAATCGGGCTGCGAACTGCAAGATCAGCAGTTTGAAACTACCAGCTGTTCCACAGGAGAAAGATGAGGCTTTCTGCTTCCGTAAAGATTTACAGCCTTAAAAACCCTGTACAGGGTCGCCATGAGTTGGAACCTACTCCACAGCACATAACCAACCAACCAACCTCTATTTCACTGATCCTCTATTTTACCAATCATAATATCCTTCCATAGGGACTGGTCTAAAGAGACAAGTCTCATCATCCTGTCAGACCAAGGTGTGCCTAACACAAGCCATACTATTTTCCATCACCTCGTATGTATGCAAAAGCTGAACTATGTATGAATAAGGAAGACTGAAGAATTGATGCATTTGAATTACGGTATTAGTAAAGACTTATTGAATAGACTATGGACTGTCAGAAGAATGAACAAATCTGTCTTTTGAAGACATACAGAATACTCCTTAGAAGGCATAGTGGCAAGACTTCTCAAGTTAACTATAGGGATTTTGACTAGCTGGGTGGGCTATGTAGAGTGGGCAGGGGTTATCTTGCTGTTTCTCTATAAAGTATCCAATGTCTACTGTAAATAGAATTTGAATGAATATTTCAAAAATATTCTCTGGATGGAAACTGGGAGGCTTACATGTCTCCGTCTACCTGTACTAGTTGTCCTCCAATTAGTTCTGACTCATGGGAACTGCATGTGTGTCCAGGTGGAGCAATATTCCATAGAGTTTTCAATGGCTGAGTTTTTGGAAGTACATTACCAGGATTTTCTTTTGAAGTGCTTCTGGATGGTCTTGAACCTCGAATATTTCAGTCCCTTTGCACCACCCAGGGACTAGTCTTCATTTAACTACTGCAATTCAATAAGATCATTTAGGGGGCTTGAACACACTTCCCTGAGAATTAGGAGGAACACTTTAGAAAAGTCAAAGAAGACTAATTTGGGGGGAAAGATTGAATACTAAACATCAGTACCTGGAGATAAGCATTTCCAGAAAAGGTGAATGTCTTATAGAGATGCAAGACTGCAACCTCTACTCTGGAATTATAAGAGGATCCTGGGCAGCAAAAAAAGAAGTTTAATTTTAGCCTGTAGAGGATGGAGGAGTCACTGGGGTATTTGGAGCAGAGGAGTTACCATGCCTGAACTGTTAGGCATGACAATGGGAAGGCAATTCAAATAGAGCTAGGTGGAAGGGAGTAGCAAGGAAAGTGATTCAGAAGACTAATGATGCAGATCAGAACAGGAAGAAGTAGAGGAGTCCTAGTGTGGCTCTGTAGGATAAGCACTGGACTGTAGGGTCAGTTTTAACCACAAGGACGGCATTTCAAACTCACCAGCAACTCGGAATCCGTACACTCGGAAACCGCACACAGGGTCACTATGAGTTGAAATGACTCTTAACAGAGGGGATTGGTTTGAAAACTACTCAGACATGTGAGAGATGAAGCTTTGGTAATGATTAAACATAGGAAAGAAGAGACTGGATGTCTAAGGATGCCTTTTGGGCAACTAAATGGAGATGCCGTGCCATCGTAGGTTTTGTTTATTTTTAACTTTTTATTGTCATTTGGGTGAAATTTTGCAGAGCAAACTGGCTTCCCATTAAACAATTCATACACATTTTGATTGCTGACTTTGATTGAAATCCCTACAATGTAACTATACTCTTTCCACCTCTTCCCTGTGTTTACAGTTTCCATTCATTCTTCTTTCTATCTCTTCCTGTCTTCTGAGCGGTAAATCTGGGCAAATACTGCCCTTTTGATCTCTTATGGTTGGTTGCTCCTAAGGTATGTATTTCCCTGGTGTTGTTATTCACCACATTTAAAAACAACAACAACAAAAAAAACCCTTCCATCAAGTGAATTCTAGCTCATAGTGATCCTATATGGGATAGAGTAGAACTGCTCCGTAGGGTTTTTTCAGTATAAATCTTTATGATAACAGACAGTCCCATAGTTCTTTTGCAGAGTGACTGGTGGGTTTGAACGTCTGACCTAGGCTAAGCACCACAATGCCTAATCCACTGTGCCACTAGGGATCCTTGTTCACCTCATTGACCTGTCTATTGCTTGGCTGGAATTTGAACCACAGGGGTGAGGATTGTTCATTGTATTTTGGTCTAATGCTTTACTTAAAGTGGTGACCTTTTAATTTAGCTTGGTGAAACCCCTGGCCTCAAGGAATTTTTATTCTAAAAAAGCAATGACAATAGTATTAAGCCCATGTTACTAGGAATCGATCTCGCTCTCTTTTCCTGCTCTGGGTGTGTCTAGTTTCCCTGAAGTCAAGGTTTCAATGTGGAAATATTTGACCCTCTTAAACAAACCTGTCAAGGGATTAATTTGGGTTTGAACCATAAGGTCAGTGATTGAAACTCACCATTCACTCCTCAGAAACCATATCTGGGGACACTGTAAATTGAAAATAACTCCATAGCACTTAAAAACAACATCATCACTCAGTTATTTATCTTCTTGTATTTCTCAATTGTTATTTATGTATATTTGAAGAGAAAACAGAGTTCATTCAGTTCCATGTCCTGCCTTATTTTAAGGGACAGTAATGCAGGATGCAACATTTCACCAGATCAGCAACACCATTCCTGAGTTCTCCCATAACAAGGGACAGCATTGCTTGTAAACAATCCAGAGACATCACCCAATTTGTTAATCTAGCTTCAAAACCAAACAATTACAGGGAAGGGGGAGAGGAAAGTGAGGATAAAGGGAGGAAAAAGCAAATAAGAAGGATAAGAAAAGGAAGGAAGAAGGGGAATTTTTCAAGAGAAAGAAACAAAGATCTAAACTATTTGGAAAGCAAAGAACAGTCAACAGGAAGGAGGGAAAACGAACAAACCCAAATTAATCCCTTGACAGGTTTGTTTAAGAGGGTCAAATGCTTCCACATTGAAACCTTGACTTCAGCGAAACTAGACACACCCAGAGCAGGAAAAGAGAGCCAGATCGATTCCTAGTAACATGGGCTTAATACTATTGTCATTGCTTTTTTAGAATAAAAATTCCTGG